AACTTTTTCATTGCTCATATGTTCAGTCAATGGTTTTCTTAGAAATGTGGTTCTTTAGAACCCTATTTCTGTTGCTTCAAATCTCTTCTTCATCTATAGTGAGATTGTCCAGCATTCACTGTCATACAGGAGGACAGATCTAGATAAGGCAGCAATAATCCATTTTTGATTTAATCTCTTTCGGAAATAGTCGGGTATTTTCTGAAGTGATATAAGACAACCATTTTTCCAGAATATTTTAGCAGTTGACCATATATGAATGGGTGTCTTTTCATCTTGTGATTCTGTTAAACTTTACTGTGTGAATACCAATGCTGATGGTAGAATAGTATATGGATGTGTCTCCCAAAGTCTAGATGACCAAAGCCTGGCAAACTATCTCTCCTCTGACCTTTTTTTCATTATGTACCATAGAAATTTCAACTGTCTCTTCCTTATGAAAATTCTAGTCTCTTTTAGCTCTTAGCAATGTTTGTGCTTTTGCTATCTTTCTTAATCCCTGTTCTGTGAAACATTTACACAAGTTCATTAGGTAGGGTTTTTTGCAGCTTTCTTATGTCCTTTTTGCCTTCAATATTCCCTGTGAGTGTTAAATTTTCCAAGCATGCTTTCCTCATTATGTGCCATAGAAATTTTGGTTGTTGCTTTTTGATTCTAACTGTTTATTTTGTTTCCATTTTCTCTAAAACTTTGTCATTGATCACATGCTCAGTCCATGGTATCCTCAGAATCCTTCTTTAGAATCATATTTTTGTTGCTTCAAATCTCTTCTTCATCTATGAAGAGTGTCCAGCATTCACTGCCATATAGAAGGACTGATACCTCTTACAATGTCTTTCTTTTCAAAATAGCAAACACTTATTAATCTTCAGCTTTGGATCATTTACATTCTCTCTCTCAAAATGTCTCTCCTTTTCATAGAGCCAATACTGTCTTCTAGGCAATGGACCTCAATGCTTTCTTTGCTTCCTATTATTACATTCAGTTTGGCCATCTCTCCTTTACTTGATGGTCACTTTTGATTTGGACATTGCATCCAGTTTGTCCACATCATCTGCACTTGTTGCATTATGGTCTTCTCTAGTCATAAACTTGTGGAGAGAAACCATCCCTCACATGGGCACTCCTGTTCATGGTCCTGTTTTTTACACTACCAATACACCAGCCCGTGGCATTAGTTTATAGGATCTATCTCAGGATCCACCTCCCTTTCCCAATCTTCTACTAACTGAAGACAATTGGCTTTCACTTAACTCTTCTGACCACAATTATAATAGAGAAATGCTTCTTTCTGTTCCGCCACTTTGCTAGTCTTAACCCTTCTTTGCTTCCACCAACCCATCTTGTCATATAGACTTTCACTCTTCTATACCTGGGTGAATGCATCCATTAAGGTAACCAGTTTCATCTTGTTATATTCCATGCTAAGGGAATAAATAGTTAACGCTAGGTGGATAATAGAAGAAAGGTTTATTGTACAAAACCAGAACAATATGAAATATGGTACAGTTATACACACAGGTCAATCTAGTAGTGAGTGCCACTAATTGGAAGGTCAGATGTGCTTGCGTCTTCTCTCTCTCACTCTTCCCTAAGTCTCTCATAGACAGTTGATTTTATAGGTACTTACTACCTGTAGTGTAATCATTCATGGGGGTGACTGGTTATTCCATCACATCTTAAAACAATTCTCCTGAACTTTCGTATCACCCAAGGACTCCACAAAATATTTAGCTAACTGGGACTGAACTGCTGTATCTTTTGCTTCACATCTTTGTATGCCACTTTTGTCAAATCTACTAGATGGCCACAGTGCTCTAGCAGTGTCTTGTCTTCACCCTGCCTAATCCTAACTAATGCTCTGGCCACCTTGGATAAACTAGTAAATTCCCCAAACTGTACCTGGAACAGGTGTGATCACATTTCACATCCTCCTACTTTTCCAGGTACATTTTGATCCACTTTGAAGCCACATTATCAGATCAGTCATTGGTAGTTTTAATGTTACTCAAGTCTATGAAAGATGTTAGCTTTTCACCTTGTCTTGAGGAGTGCAGAAGAGCACTCATCCCTACCTCAATATCAACTCATTAGTTTCCTTAGTATCATCAGTAAACTCTTTGAGGTCATAATCAATAATAAATTTCTTGACTACCTCAGAAGAAACAAGTTCCTGAGTGACAAGCAGTATTGATTTTGATTTTCTAAGTCATACTGATGTCCTGTTATGAAACACAATACATCATGAGAGTGATTACCTTAGATATACAAAAGGCCTTTTACAAGGTGTGGCATAGGGGGTTGCTACAGAAATTATGGAATCTCTGGAAGAGTCCTCACAATCATCAAGTCCTTCCTAACAGGTAAGTCCTGGAAGTTCATTGTCAATAGTCGGACTTCTGAAGACTATAAGATCAATGCAGGCATCCCACAAGGTTCATTACTCTCTTTCTGTTTTATATTAACAGTCTGTCTAAGAACACTCTCAGATCATTTGTAAATATCTATCAATATCTATATTTATGTATAGGTGCCCCACCAAAAATCTAGATAATCAGAGCTTAGCAGCTGATCTCACATCTGAACAAGCTCTAACAGCTCAGTGAGGGAAAAATTGGATTGTAACTTTCAATATTTGGAAAACCAAGCAAGTAACTGTTCATTGTCACCAAAAGGACCCTAAATTCTCACCATTCACAATAAATAGTTGCACTTTCAAAGAGGCTCATTTTTTGAATGTCTACTGAGATTCACGTTCACCCTAGATGGCAAGAGGAACTCATATACATAATCCATTGCTAAAGATCCTGAAAAAATAGTTGATTCCTTATGCCACTTCAGAAAATACCTGACTCCACCTGCCACACTTTATATTTACAAGAGTCAGATCAGACCGAAAATTAAGTATTGCTGTCATGTCTGGGCTGGATCTACCCAATTCTCTCTTTCCAACCTTGCCAAAAGAGTTCAAAAGCATTTAAGCAACCTTGTAGGAGATTAATTATTTTTCACTCTACAATACCTCTCCTACAAATGCAACATTATATGCCTATCACTACTCTATTTCTATAGAAAATGTTCTGATGAACTACATTCTATAGTTCCACCAGCTCAGACCATTACAGATCTGCCATGTTGTGTACAGAGGAGTGGATCATCTTCATCCTCTTTCTGTTTCATTGGTAACAAGGAAGTTTCATTCAAACAACTTCCCAAGAACCACTCCTTTGTTGAACAGATTTCCAAGAGGATGCTTCTCCAACTATTAGGATTTTAAAGTCTTCAAATCTAGGGTCAACTGTTATCCATCTTACATATCCTCATAATCTACAATTCTAACATCCCATTTAGTAACCCTATAATTTAAATGGCTTTAGAGCTCTGTATTGGGTGAACAACAGTGTAAAAAAACACAACTCCTTTCCTGTTAGACCATATATTTTCAAGGGCTGCAACCATTGTCCTAAACTGCCTGTCCTTCTCGTGATATATTGCCGACATGTTAATACCTCACTTGATTGTCATTTTCCAAGCTAATTGAGATGTCTGGGCTTCTTCTGTCACCATTAGCAAATTGCAAAGTCCATGTGACGGTGTATGCAATGAAATCGAGTAAATGAGAAATGCCACTCACCCAGGAATCCTTGAACTCTGCTTTCTTCCTCACCCTTGGTGAGCCTTTTATTATATACCCACACATTAGACAGAAAATTTCTTACTGGCTCTTTTCAACCTTCTTTAGCTGTGGGTCATTGATTTGAGTTGAGCTATTTGTTGGGTTGCTTCTTTTTTTTAATTGATAAGTGTTGTCACTTCACAATGTCATTCTTGAAGCTAAATGAACTCATGGCCCTCGCTGGTTTCTTTGTTGGTGGTGGTCAGGGCAGCCAAATGAGCCCATAGTAAACTATGTCAATCCTGTGACCCTACAGGTTGATCTTTGATAAGAGACACTATTCAATCCTGTGGCCCTCTTCAGGTCAATCCTGTACATAGCAGCCATTTGAAACTAGCATTTACCACCCAACATTATGATTATTTAAGTATGAAGATGCTTGTTATCCTACTTGAAACAACTCTGGTCAAAATGGGCCCCACACCAACTGGCTGCTCACAGAATCATGAGATGAAAATCTTGATTGGTATCACCCAGTTGTAACTAAGGATTGATTCAGCTCACTTGGCAACAATTAACATGATTTTAATGTTTTTATAAGAAATGCAAGTTTGTTGGCACTGTGAATCTTAAGTTCTATTTCAGTGACAAGAGAGATTGTGGATTTTTATAGTTGATTTTTCTTTGGAATAAAAGAGCTACCAGCTGATATTACTAGTTTGGACATGAGGGACTTTCTCCGAACAATTTTGGATCTAAAAGATAATTTCTATCAGGAACTAACATCAGGATCTTGCTGAGGCTATTTCTGGACACTTATTTCAACCCAGCATATTTGAAAACACAATAACATCAGGTTTTTGATCCCTAAAAATATTTTTCATTCATCACTCCAGTTTGACCTAAGGTCATCTCTTTAACAGTTAAGATTTTTAGTCAAAACAACACCTGGATTTGTTTTCCTCAATATCTACACTAAAATTGTATAACCCAATTTTACTTTCATTGTTTTGTCTTTCACCTTTGACATTTCTCTGTGTGAATAAAACTGATTTATCTGATTCCCAATCATTTTTAAACATTCTTTTTCCTTAAAAAAATAGACTTCCCCTCCATTCAGCCTTTTTTACTGAATCTTTGTCCAACTTCTAAAATCCACAATCTCATAATATTGGCACACATTATATATGTACAAAATCAATGTTGAAAAGTTTAATTTTCCAAAATCTGACCAAACATCAGAATTTGGGGAGGGTAAGTTTTATATATAAAATAACTATTATATTTATTATACCTTTATTTTAAATTTTTAATTAAAACTAATATTATTAGTAGCAATAAAAATTAATTTATTATTTGGGTAATAATTCAAGTGAAGTCTCACCAGGACTTGATGGTTTAAATGTTTTTTCTCCAATTTTGGTCAGAAGTATTTTCCTGTTTTTTCCAAATTTAATTTTTTCAGATGCCTAAAGAGAAAAAGAAAAAAGCAAAGAACAAATAATCACCATATGAGCTAAAAAACAACAATAAATAAATAGTAAATTCCATTTATAAGTAAAAATCTGTCAACTCTGTGTTGCTATTTACTAAGCTTATTTTTGTAAGGCACAAGATCTGATCAAACCTGATTCGTAGATGTTCTTTTTCAAATTTATTATATTACAATCATGTAATTAATTTCATGGTTGCTTTTTCTGCAACCTTTCAGGTTTTCCTAAACCAAGTAAAAGTTGTGTATAATGAAGTTATGACTATTTGTTAAGTAATAATGAAGTTATGACTATTTGTTATTAGATAAAATAGATCCATTTAAATATGTGGCACATTGTATTTTAATCATACTGCTTGTTTTTGGAAAATTTTTCATAGTATCTCATATAGTTCTAATTAACCTTTTCTTAGGAGATGTTATGTTCTTGGCTTGAAGTAGTACTATGATCCCATCTTCAGTGAGTAAAAAAAGGTGAAAATGATGTTACTTTTCTTATTATATTGATATTAATGCAAATATTACCAATACTCATACCAGAAAAAAAAGAATAGTGATAGATTTTCCGTGATGAGTTTGTCTGTTCTATTTAATATCCTATTAATATTTTCATTGCTGTATTTCCGGCTAGAGAATACATTGTTCCCTATAATTTTGCTCTGGATATCACCTGGCACATTATACAAAATATACATCTTGGGTAAAACAAGAATTCATCTTTTTATTGGATTGATTTAACTGTTACAGTGAGGTGATTCTAAGATAACTAGAAGTCCTACCAGGATTTATTATTGCACACGATCTTAATAATGTAAGATGTACAGATGACAACTGTATTGATGGTAGACATAAAAGAAACAAGGTAGTAAAGAAAAATGGAAAGAAAAGACTATCAGTTGTAAAGAGAGAAAATATAAAGTTGTTAACAAGAGGAACAGCCCAAAATGTGTGCCACGAATTGGAGACATTAAAATCATACAGGTATAGAAATTTAACTATCTGGGAACTGTTTTAACAGGCAATGGAAAATGTGACACCAAAATCAGAAGGCACACTGGAATAGTGAAAGATGCCTTCCAAAAATTAAAAAATTTATTTAGAAACAAGGAAAAGAGTGCTGAACTGCTATGTCATATCCATCCTCCTATATGACAATGAAAGCAAGATAATTTCCTCACAGATGAAGAGGAGATTTGAGGCAAGAGAGATGTTGTTCTATAGAAGAATGCTGAAAATACCATGGATAGAGCATATGTGTAACAAGGAAGTTTTAAAGAAAATGGAAAGAAAAAAGAGGCTTTCACTGAGAAAGAGAGTTGAAAATTATTAGGAAAGAAGGCTTGAAAAATTTAACACTCACATGACATATTGATGACAAGAGTGGCAGAGGGAAACTGAGTAACATATCTAACAAGTTTGTGTAAATAGATGACAGGACAGAAAGAACTAAGAGCTACAAAGGATAGGAAGTTATGGAGAGCCATAATCATCCATGTCATGATGCAACAAAGAAGAAGCAGCTAGCAGAGTGGAGGAAGAAATGGATTCATACCTTTTTGGAGGTATTTGAGCAGAAGTAGAAGTCCCTCTTTATCCAAGAGGATATGTTCCAATGACACTAACAGATACATGAAACCACTAATAGTATCAAAACCTATACATACCTTTTTTATCTACATACATATCTTTTCACTTAAAAGAAGAAATTTACTGTTTCTCTTTAGAATTGTCAGCATCATTATTTTTAAGCTTTGAGACCATTATTAGGTAAAATTTTTGAATTTTTTTTTATTTCTGGGATTGATTGTCGGTAATTAAGAACAAAGTTGGCAACATGATACACTTCTTTTGTAAGAATATTTCTAAGAAAATTCTAGAATTGAACATTTATTTTTATGATGAAAAATTAATTTTATAATTAAACATTTTCAAGATTTATATTTAATATTAAATTGAATATTATATAATATATATTAACCAAAGGAGCTTGCTTGGTATCTGAATGATTAGATTTTTGCTTGTAGTGTATTTTATTTGTAGTATAAAGACAGTAAAAAAACAGAATTTGACTATTTTCTCAGCAGACTCTTCTGATTTAGTAGATTGTTTAATATAATTTTCTTGCATTTATAGCAAATTTGTGCAATTTATATGTATATTTCTTGTAACAAATAATCATTAATATATCTTAATTTTAGGTGATAATAATTCCCACTTTATATTCCTAGCCAATTTATATGATGAAATGATGAGTAAATTGACATTTATATAAAGTACTATTAATACAGTCACAGTCATTATGGCATGTGTTGGTCAGATGAAAAGGATTAAGTTGCAGTTTGAGTAGAATTTGTGATTATCTTGATATTTTGATAAAAGAAAGAAATAATGAGAAATCTCATATCAGAATTAATAATGAAAAAACTTTCTTATTGATGCATGAAATTGTCTGATGTACAAACCTAGACAGTTTTGTCAGTGCAAGAGATTTTGGTACATGTATAAATCAAAGTGATGGATTACCAAACAGCTGCTTGGTACAAATTGTTAACTGATGCAAAAATATGATCAAAGAATTTGAAGAAATGATGTTTAGGGCTGCTGATGAAAATCCTCATGTTTCATACAACCCCTACCCCTACCATATCAAAAAAAAAGAGTAGCAGTTATACAGTTAAAATATATATAAATTACTTCTACTGAAGAGTAGAAATGTTTTTAATTTTAAAAACACTGTTGGTCTCAGATTAAAAATATGTCAGTTCTTTTTACATTATATATTATAGAGGGTGCATGGTTGAGTGGTTAGAACATTTGCTTTCTGACCATGAGACCTGGGTTCAAATCTCACCATGGTCGATTTATCAGAAAGGAAACTTCCTGATGTTATCGGAATGGAATCCCAGTGAGCAGCACCTTTAGAAAGTGTGTGAAAACCACACCATGGATTGACCCAATCCTTGTGAGGGAAATTGGGTAGATGGAACACTTGATGGCTGCTGATAGCTGTGCTAGTACAAAGCCACAAGTCATCATGGCTGAGAGCTTGAGTGTGCTGGCCTTGTTCAAATTGTTGATCATGCTAGATAACATGCTCTCTCCCAGAAACTGTAACTAAGGTCTGCTCAGTATAATTGCAGTATAAACCACTGGTGGGCTCTGTGGGTGTTGAATAAACACAAATGTGCCTGAGCGAGCGTCTGCAATAGGGATTGGCTAGCCACTCTAGTAGATGGGTATCCTCGAATACGAGTGGCCAGCAGTTATTATATATTATAGATATATGTATGTATGTATGTATCTAGGTTCTATAGAGTTTTTTGTGGAATATATACTTTCACCATGCTAGGCCTTGCTAGACTACACATAACCAGTTTGGCATTCAAAGTTGTCCCTCTCCTAGACTGGTTGCCAACCAAGGCAAAAGAGCACAGTCTGTTCAGCTATTAACACCTAGCTAGCAGAGTGGGGAGAAGAAATGGATTCATACCTTTTCAGAGGTATTTGAGCAGAAGTGAATTCACAATTTCTGCACTGATAACTGCTACACTACACATTTGTGTGTGTGTGTGTGTGTGTATATATATATATATATATATATATATATATATATATATAGAGAGAGAGAGAGAGAGAGAGAGAGAGATCAATAGACAATATATGGTTGTCAGCAAAAGGAACAGCCTAACATGCAAATTACAAATTAGAGTACGAAAATCAAGCAAGTACAACAATTTAAATACCTGGAAAGTCTTTTTAACCAATGACTGAAAGTGTGACAATGAAATCCAAAGGCTTGTTCAGATAGCAAAAGAAGCCTTCCCAAAGCTAAGCAAAGTATTAGGAAAATTTTGTTAAAAACAAAGAAAAGAATACTGTATTGTTACGTAATGTCAGTCTATATAGCAGTGAATGCTGGACAATACCATGGACAGAAAATGTAAATAAAAAGAACACTTATACTTAACATTAGAAAGAGATAGTTGAAATTTCAGAGGGCTTGGAAAATTTGATACCCACAGGACAGATTGAAGGCAAGAAGGACAGAGGAAAACAGTGCATAATTTATCTAAAGTGTTTGTGTAAATGGATGGCAGAATAGGATTTAGGAGAGATAGCAAAACAACAAAATGTACTAAGGGCTACAAAGAACTGAAAATTGGGAAGAGCCATGATCAACATCCTAAAGGAGCATGGCAAAGAAGTAGGTATATAAGCATATATATATATATATGTGTGTGTGTGTGTGTGCATGTTTATCTGTGCATGCATAGATAATACTAAGAGATATTTCAGAATCCATCAGAATTTGTTAAGAACAAAATAGGAAGACAGTAAGAATTTTTATATTTCATCTTTTTTATTAATCAGCTTCTGATTATCCATAACTTTGTTTCTTGTAATTTCACTTTTACACTATTTTTCTCTTCTGTTCTCTCTCTTTACACACACAACATAACCATATATATATATATATATATATATATATATAAGTATATGGAGATACTTATATTGAGATGTCAGGTACTGAACAGATCAAAGCAGGTTTGGATTTAGATACAAGAAAATATCTATGAAGTTAACAGGGAGGAAAGAACTCATTATCATTGGTTTCTGTATAGGCCACTGCACTGGAGTAGATTTTTTTAATTTTTATCTCTTTCTTTATATATATATATATATATATATATATATATATATATATATGTAAACATATAGATGTATTATCTCTCTATCTCCCTTTATATATATTATATTTAAATTCCCATTAAAGAATTGTATTCCTGATCAATCAAAATTCATAAATAATTATATAGGCCACACTAGATGTTTGACACGTAGACTCACTCTACACTTTTCTGACCATAGCACAATTAGATCTCATTTAAATATTCATGGAGACCTACCAGACACTATTCGTAACATACTTGTTGACAACACAAATATAATAGCATTATCAACATGCAAAAAAAAAAGGCTAAAAATAAATTTTATTAATAAAAACAAAAAAACCAACACTTAATAATATCAACTATGAACATGGACACGATACCTTGACCATGTTTTGAAAAATGAAAGCATTTTATAAATATTAGGAAAATTTTGTTAAAAACAAAGAAAACAATGCAACAAACTATTTCTTATTTAACAGTTAAAATATTTAATCTTTGAAAATGGCTAAATGTATAGCCGAAAGTGCTTGGATAAAAAGAACAATTGGACAGTTTTTATATAATTTATCATCTGAAAAGAAAAAATATTAGATCGCATGAGAAATTGTATAAAAAACTAAATCAAAGCACCTTGTCTGTCATATTCAATGAAATGTGCATGAAAGAAGGATTGCTGCCTAAATACACAAATTTTATATACATACATATATATATATATTTAATAGCACACAATGAGTGCTGTTTTCAATCTACACCTGATGAAAATATTCAATATATTCATTTTTCCTTTTACAGTGGTGTCAAACTGTAAATCTGACATAACTTATATGATACATGCAATATTTGAATTTGAAATCAGTTTTCTTTAGTAGGTCTTCACGTTGTTATTGATTTCACTGTATTTGAAAATAAAAAACAGGGATAGCAACTCAAACACCGACTAAAAATAATGTTCATAGTAATTATACACACACACACATATATATATATATATATATATATATATATATATATATATATATATTTTAATGGATTTATTTTTAATGACATTTTTGATTACTTCAAATGTTATTATGGTGGATACTCGTATTTTAAATGGATGTCCAATTTTATTCTTACTTTAAACAGTGTGTATTATCACTATTGATCTGTATATTCGAGAAATTATATATATATACATACAACATATGCACATGTGTGTGTCAGTGAGAGATTATATATGCAAAGTATTTTTCAAAAGTTTTTTAAGGTAATTTGGTTGTTGATAATATGGTTGTGAAATTAAGTAGAAGCTTATGAAGCTTTATTTGACTAATTCAGCCTTAGCACTGAAAACATTTATTTTATTATAGTGGATGTTTACAAGCAAGATGGGATGTGCTTATTTTATTATCACAGGAAAAAATAACAAACAACTATCCAGATATAAAAATAAAAACACCATTAAATTATTCTGTCATAACTAGATGCATCTCAACTATAAACAAGATAAAAAAGACATTACAATATAATTCCCCAGTACATATCACATAATGATTGCAATAAACATCTTTATCATTTACTATAATGGCTGGCTACTAGTTTCTTCTGAGTATGCTTGTCTGCTAAGATAGACAGCGAATCTCTGTTTCAGTTGCCTGCTCAGACCCATTTGTGTTTCTTCAACATTCACAGAGCCACTTATGCTGAGCAGATCTTACAGAGAAAGTTAACTATTTGGCATGATCACCAGCTTGAATAAGTTTGCTTAAACCCTTTGTCACAATAACTTGTGATCATTTATTATCAAAAGTTTGAAACAACTAATCTAATAATTACTCAGAACATCAAAAATCTCCCTATGTAAGAAAAAAAAAGTGGTTTATGAATTCTTATGTCCTTTGGGAGATTGCATCACTAATATCAGTAAAAAAAAAAAAATTAAGTTCTTACATTGGCCACACAAGCATCACTCTTTCTTGTATATTAATTTGTCACTTATTGAAACTTAGTGGAATTTGTCCATTTTTCCATATTCAAATCACAAAAATCTAAATATAAGTAGACAATATCAGAATATTATCCCATGTTGCAGGCTGGTGTATGCGTTGAGAGATAAACATGTGCGTCTCCTGAAATGCCCACAACAAACATGGCAGACTTGGAATGTGAGTTCACGTAAATAAATGTAAAGAAACGATAAGAAGCAAATATATATGCACAAACAAATGATAAAGTATGTATTAACAAAACAAGGGCATACATAAACAAAAGAATATTTTTGCATGTTACAAAACAATGAACATGAATGAAGAAAACGTTTAAACTAGTGAATTGTTTGTGTGCATATAGCTTGGTGTAGGAGAAAGTTCTAGAGAAAATGAAGTGAAAGATGTGTATGTGTTCCCAGTGGGGAAAGCATTTTCCTTGTTTGACCTATATCTTACTGTCTCTGAGTGAAAAAAGAAAAAAGAGGATGACAGAGAATGTCACTACCTATTTGTAGTCCTGAGAGCATCTCCTAGTAGCACTAACAGCACTCATGGCAAGGAAAGATTAAAAATTATAGAAGCCATTGTTATACAATAGAAACAACCTAAATTAAATACCAAAGGAGATGGCATTTTAAATATACATATTTAATATGCATATAAAATAATAATAAGTATAAAATATCTGATACATTCATTTTTCAGTATAGTCAAGCACCGTGAAAACATTCTTCATGTGATGTATATTTAAATTTGAAATGTAGCATTTTAAATGCTAATATGTAGCCAAACAAATATTGTCTACCATACTGACAACATGCAATTCTTGATAATAACAGAGACAATTGAAAGTACTCAAACAAAGCAGAACAAAAACATGAACTTATTTGAAAATTGGAAAAATTTAAAGCAATTAAACAGATAGACCTTATCAGTTATATTTGCAATATATATATATATATATATATATATATATATATATATATACACATGCACATAATGCAATGTTTTTCCTTTGGGTTTACAACTAGCTTTTATCCCCCTTCTAATCATTTTGAAATGAGGTTAACATAAGAAACATCTAATCCAAAGTTTGTCTGTAATTATGATATCAAGTTGGGATATTTAGCTGTTTCAGATATTTAATATATCTGTATATCAAATTGAAATATTGGAAAATATTACCAAAAAAGTAATTATAATTTTTATACAGTGTAGAAAATAAGATGTTTAGCAAGTTCTCCATAATGTTCTCACCTGGCTGCTATCATCTAACATGGCAGGGACACAGGACACAGCTCTTCTTTCTGGTGTAGGTGGTGGTAGAGCTAAAAAAAGCTTAGAGTCATTGGGATTCTGTTTAAAAAATAGAATTTGTAAGTGACAGCCTTAAAACAGTAACAATTGGAAAACAAAATATTTAAATGAAGATATTTGAATACTGGAAATATTTTAAATTTCATTTGGCTTTTACAAGTAAAAGGTTTTTATCTTGTTTTTTAAAATAAAGTTTATTACAATGGACACAATTTGGTAATTGATACTCTTAATCTAATAGTGTGGTTGGTCTAGTTATTTGGTACCGGGACTATTTGTTCAAACATACTTCCAGCTGTTGATATTAGCTTTGTACATTAGCCTCATTTACTTGCAATTCACCATTTTTGCCTCTTCTTGTGACATTCACAGAAGACATTGTTTGGAGTCTAATGGGAGGGCAGTAACCAACTCTCCACTAATCTCACAAAAAATGCTTATCATATTTCATAGCATATGGAATGCATCTTTTTTCTGATAGGATAACTGAAAAAAAAATCCCTGCGATATGTGAATATGTCGTCCTTCCTGTCAGCATTTATCCTTCACTACTGCAGTTTATTACTATTTCCTAAATGATCCCAGCTGTGGATCTTTTTGAATCTTTTTGGTCATCTATTATACATTGGGGGTAGAGGGTTGGATGGCTAAAAAATTCTTCCCAAAATCATTTAACCATTGAAATGCTGATTTTTGGAAGTGGGTTGGGCTTAGAAATTTTCAGTTGATAAGTAAAATTTGTTGTTTGAGGGGGTGGGGAAATTAAGAATTAATAATGTTTAAGAATGACTGCAATAGAATGATAGCAAGCAAAGTAGTTTTGTCTTGTTTGAAATAAAAAAACCATGAAAATAATACTATCCATGGAAAGCAATGATATTGTAGTATTGGATATTGAAAGGATTCGTGTAATTGTTGTGCACATTAGGAATAGTATTATAGACTATGTAATAAAAATAAAGGTTTATTAGTGTTGTATGTAATAAGAGGTGACATTCTAGCATTAAAGTAGAAAAGGTCTTATGTTACTGGACTAGAAGAGAAGCTATAGGGCATAAAAGAGATAAAGAGAAGTATGATATTTTGGTGTTAATCATTAAGTGAGAGAAGTGGAATTGTATAAAACATACTCAGAAATAATAAATTGATGATGCCAAACATAGATAAAGATTTTTAATGTGCAGTAAAAGAAAAAAAAAAGTATTATTTCTGTTTTGAATGAACAGAGAAATGTCCTTTGTGTTAAATAGAGAGAAAAGTTATTTTGGTACAAAATAGAGAGAAAAGTGTTTTTGTGATGGAGACACAATCATTTTAGGATTGAATTGGAGAAAGAAGTATTTGCAGAGCTGAATAGAAAGAGGTGTACAAGAAGGAGAAAGATATTATATGTATACTCACTTGATTCATTCACCAATTTTTCAACCGATTTCAACAAAACTTCACTTTTTTTTGGCAGGTAGTGTTTCTTATTGTCTTGCACACTTTTTCCTTTATTTTTACATTCAGAATGCTTTAAAAATTCCATTTACAAGACAATTGTTTATAATAAAATTCTATTCAATCGGTAGACTCATAACGATTGAAAACAATGTTTTTGTTTGAGTTTGGGTTTGACCAATTCGTAAAAAAAATCCCAAAAATCAAAAATTACTAATTAAGACATGCGTGTCCATCAACCTTAAACAATAAACTTTGTCAATTTTATTTTTCAGTCTTTATGATGGTCGATACTTGATCTATCTCTTACTGTTACATCCCCGGGCAATGCCGGGCTCTACTGCTAGTTGTAAATAAAATGATGCACTAAAACAAGTAATGATTTTATATTTTTAAAAGAGTAAACATTGATGAGTGAGTCAAGTGAGTATACAGTAATAGCAGTCTCATTTTTTTGTAGGTTAAACTTTGCCAATTTAATAAGAATGGAAGATCTGTTTATATTTCTGAGATTAGGTATTGTAATTAGTTACACTATTTACATTGTTTGAACTGTTGTCCTCATCTTCATTGCTATATCCATGATGTTTTGGCCATTGTAAACTCTGGCCTTCTTTAGGCGACTGGAATTTCAAACCCTTTATTTTGTCCAGCTGAGGTGAACAAAAACTTGGAGAGTTGAGTTAAAGGGAGATAACTCATACTGAGACATCCGGAAGAGGCATGGCACGTGGAACTATAAGAATCTACTGCAGTGGATGAAATAAAGGATTCAGTTTGAAATTCCATTTAACTGAAGAAGGTTGGAGTGTAAATGGTCGAAATGTTATGGATATGGCAATGAAGATGAGGACAACATTCCAACCAATTTAAGTAGTATAAATAAGAATGGAAGTATACTGCAGTATTAGAAAAATAAGTCTATAAAAGTTCTTTATATCGATTCTCTTACCTGTTTCATTTGGTATTTATTTTTTACAGTTTTTGTTAAGATAGAGGATTTCTTTGAAAAATCCAAGGCCTTCTCAATCTCCAACACAATACACTGAATATCATCACTTTCAATAATTCCTGTTAACATGTAAATACAGAAAATGTCATAATAAATAAGAATTGTTCTGGTATTTTAAATAATATCAATTAACTACAAAATTAAATATTGATTTATCTGGAAAGTGAAATAAATACAATCATCTTGTTTTGGTCTTTCAAGGTTTTTGGAAGGGAAACATTTATAAAAATAAAATATATCCTTTCTTAAAATATTAACACATTTAAGTGTAGGAGAAAACCTTTAGTTTTTAATGGTATGTTTTCTTATTGTATCAACAAGTAAGTCATGATAAAAATAATAGAGATTTTAAACTAAAATTAATACTAAAAATTGAGATTTATATATGTTAGTCTAAAAGATATAAATGTACATGAATTATATATTTCTAGGGGGAACTGTTATTAGATCTGATATGCTTTGATCTCTTGGCTACAGAGTGTGATGATGACCAGATTTTTATTATTTAAATGTTATTTTTAATGGATATTCATATTTGGTCAGTTTTTTATCCTAATGAAATTTCTGAAGTATTCAGACTGGTAAATGAAAATAAATAAATATACTGTTTAATAAATAAATGGAGTGTCTACTCAAATACAAGTATCCACTAAAAATAATCAGATTAATAAATAAATAATCCATCCCCTTTTTTTACAAATTGCTTTGTTTATGTTAGGATATGAAACTGAGCAGAAAGTTCAGGAGTTGGAGAAAGATCTGTGTTTAAAGGCATTATTCAGCTTTGCTTGGTCATGAGCACACTCTGTAGCCAAGAGGTCAAATCTAATGGTAGAGGGGAATACAGGTTGAATCCTGCTAAAGAGCATATATTTTTCTATAATAATATTTCTCGAATATTCAGGCCGACAGTTGAAAATAGATAAATATGTTGTTTATAAATAAATGGAACATCTACTCAAATATGAGTATCCATTAAAAATAATGTTTAAGTAATATATATATATATATATATATATATATATATATATTATACAACAGAGAAATCCCAAATTACCTCATGGGTATAGTCTATTTCACCTGATGCTGAGTACGTCAGTCTTATTCAACCCAGATGGCAGACTGTATTCAGTGTCGGAACTAGAGATTTAAAATTTAACAAAGACAGCAGTTTAAAACTTGATACAGAGCCTACCCATATCAAAGCCTCAGCAAGACAGATTGCCCAAATAGTGGTAAGGGGGAGGATTTTTACCTGTACTATATATATATATATATATATATATATATATATATATATATATATATATTTATTTTTTTTTTTACCTGTACTACATATATATATTTACTTATTTATTATATATATATATATATATATATATATATATTTTACTTATTTATTTTTACATGTATTATATATATATATATATACACACACATATGTGTATATATGTATGTATATGTGTGTGTTTCAACAGATAAAACTGCTGTAACTTACTAAAATTTTAGGGAAAATACTGCAAATTTCAATGCTTAACATTTTAAGTTCAGAAGCAACTAAATGTGTTGCAAGTTTCACATAATTACAGTCCAGGAGCATTCTGAATGCACCAGCAATTGGGGCACATGTTATTATTTCAATGCACAACTTTTACAATATTTTAGATTTTCTAAACCATCTTATAATCAATTGTACCAAAGAGGTTTATAATTTTTTTTTGTACTACATGAAATGTTTATTTTCCTAGTACAGAAAATAAACAAAATTAAGTAACAGAGTGATAGAGTAGGTGTAAATTCAGTGGTCACTGCTAAGAAAAACTGAAACCTTGCCTATATATTTTGAATTCAAATGCAGCTTTCATCAAAAGACAGCTGTGGTTAGAATTCCATATTTTTCCCAGTTACCAAAACTTGATGAGTTACTATATATGTAATAATTAGAATAAATTAAAATTTTAAAATATTTTTTAATAAGTCCTACTTGTAATATCAACAGTTGGTCGATATATAAAATACAAAAATATAAACATAGAAATCAATGCAATATGGGGACTGTTAGTTTCATGCTTTAAGTCTGATTGTTTAAGGCATAAAACTGACAGTCATCATTTCAAAAGTTAAAAAACTATTAGGAAACAGGAAAATTTCATCAGAAACAAAAAATAGTGCTGAACTGTTATGTAATATCAATCCGCTTATATAGTAGTGAATGCTGGACAATTTCCTTACAGATGAAGTGGACACTTGAAACAACAGAGATGTTGTCTTACAGAAGAATGCGAGTAAGAAGGAAGTTTTAAAGAAAATTGAAACAAAAAGTACATTTGTACTGAGTATCAGAGAGAGGGAGAGAGAAAGGGAGGGAGAGAGAGAGAGAGACAGTTGTAATTTTTGGAACACAATAGGAAAGAAGGCTTGGAGAATCTGATACTCATAGGACATATTGAGGAACAGAGGGAAAAAGCTTGTGTAAATGGATGGTGGATCAGGGAGTGGAAAGGATAGTAAATAAGCAAACATTGCTAAAGGCTACAAAAGACAGGAAGTTGTGGAGAGCCATGATCACCAATGTCTTGAAGGGATACAGTGCATAAAAGAAGAAAGAGCATATCAATGGAAAATTTATAAACCTTTTAAACTAGCAGAGTATCTGTCAAGAAGGATGCGATTATTTACATAATGAATAGCAATACTATCTTGGATCAGTGTAGTATCTGTGTACATTGCCTAACTTATTATTTACAGGTTAACTTGACCTTGCTCGTCAAGCAGCAGAATGTTGGTGCAATTGATATGTTACTTGTCCGCTTACTTTCAGGTTAAATGTTCAAATCAGGATGGGATTCATTTATTAATTTTATTTTATTTTATTTTCCATTTTTGTCGTCCAATTATCTACATATCATATAATAATTGTGTTTGTCCATTCCTTCATTAGTTTGCACGACCGTTATGCCCTGCCAATAAATAATGGACTATTCCATTTTGATCATGTGAAAAGACATATCAGTGAAAAAAAAATAGATAGAAGTGTTTAATGTCTCTTGTTATACCTCATAAATAATGGACTATTTAGTTTAGAGTGTGAGAAGACAAATGACATATCAAAGCCGCTACTTGGTTTCAGTGTGAAAAAGGAAAAAAAATTAAAAGTGTATAATGTCTGTTTCAGTGAAATAAAAATTTCAAATCTTTTCATTTGTCCCTCTTTATTGCTTAAAATAACAACCAGCATTCATATTTATGATTGTTAGTGCAATATTTTGTTAAAGTTGTTAAGTTCAAATATTTAATGATGCAATAGGAGAATTTTTACAGATATTTTATTGCCACAGAATTTGCCATGTGCTTATTCAATCATTAAGTGAAGAATTAAGGTTTGTCAGAAATTTAAAATAGGAAAACTATGAAATTTTCACAGGTTAAAACTAGTCTATATTAATGTGTTGGAAATTACAGAGTGAGAGAAACAAAGAATCAGACAGAAATAGTTGTACAACCCTATACAGTAAGTAAGGGATTCAGTCTGAAATTTCCTGAAAGTTACCCTGATAGCCAGACATCTGAAGAAAACCAGAGTGCCCAGTGGATGAAGCATTTTGATAACAGCAAAAACTAATGTAAATAAAGTGAATAAAAATTACACAGTTCATTATAATATATAATATACTATCTCTTAACCTGAAAGACTTAAATGTTCACTTATGTCTGCTGAGAAGTTTTAACATATCAATCATTTTTTTCAGCTGATAAATGCAGTGTGACTGAGAGCTCTCATATAGTAATTTTCCTAACTTTGTTCATAAGAAGTTTTTTTTACCTATTTACTGTTTATGAGTTAATGATCAATATCTTTGCCCATTACAAGATTATCTTCAGACTAAAGCATTTTATTTTTTTTTCATAACAGAAATTCTTTTGCTAATTACTTACATTCCATTGTACAGAGAAAAATAATCAAAGAATTTAATTATTTGCACATGGTGTCATCTTTACTATCCATGAATGAGTTCCACTATGAATTTCTAACCTGTTTCACGGAACCAATGGAAACGTCCTCCAGTACAGTGAGCCATATTTCGTAGGCATTCTGCAGTCTTTGTAATACTCGCATACCTGCCAGGTATAGCGCCATTTTTGTCATAGTCTTCCACATTGAAAAGAGATGTATGCACTTGAGTTCCCAGCCCAACACAACTTTCCTCAATAAAGGAAACACAAATATCCTCTGCCTGGTCAGGTACTCCGCTCGTGAATATGTAAAGATTGTCAGGATCTGAAAAACATAAAGTGAATATAAGCAGATTAGCTATTGTTCTTTTTAATCATTCCCCTTCAAGCAAGGCAATAAAGCCACAAAGATTGCAAGGGTTTACTGAGTGTGAAAGAATATAAGAAAAAGAAAAACATTAAGGAGAGAGAATAATAAAAGAACGGGAATTAAGAAAACAGAAGATAACAATTGACATTGCATTTAAATTTTTGAAGATCAAAGTTGACTGGAAAGCAAAAAACTGGAAGAGCATTATACAAGGGCAAGAGAAGAAACTGTTAACACAGAACTTACATCTAGTCATTTCAACTGTAAAATGATGAGACCTTGCTGTCAATCTAGTATTATGCTTAAGTTCATAAAGTTTAGGTACCATAGAGGAAAGTTCATCAGAACAATTATCATGAACATGTTTATAGAAAAGGTACAGGGGAAGCTACATTATGGCAGTGGGAAAGTGTCTGAAGCAGAGATGCCAGGTTGGGACCAATAACATTGCAGATTCTTCTTTGGATTTTATCAAGCATCTCTAAATACATAGCAGAAGCACCAGATCAGATGGGACAGCAATATTCAATGCATGGATGAATAGTAGACTTATAAATATATAAGATAGATTCTGGTGAGGAAAATTTAACTATTGGAGATGAATTTCTGAGATGAATCATTATCATCATTTTGCAAAGTGTTTGGACTTATATTCTTATCCAAGAAATGAAAATATCAATCTGAGCAATTTAGAATGAATGAAGAATGATTGGATCATATGGCAAATTTTGCTCATATATTTATGGTCAGGTCAGGTTTAGGCCTGTTACTGGTAACATGTAACCCAGAACAACCTGTCATATGTATGTATGTTGGCATCTAAACCAGTTCCCACATTAAGTTTTCTGCTGGTGAGGAGAGTGGCATGTCATCCAGCGGAATGAAAAACAAGACCTATCAAAGGGCAGATAAGCTTTTATAGGAACCAACATATATATATATATATATATATATATATATATATATATATATATATATATATATATATATAAGGCTACGATGGAGTATCAAGCCTTGAATGACAATCTTCCTAGGGATGACGTCATAATAAAAATACTCAGTGTACTTGGATTTCTCTGAATGTCTGAGTTGGGTATCAGGAAGAGCATTTGGCCTTGTTAAACCTTGCCTCAAATCATTGACAAATCCTCTGTCAGACAGGACCCACCTTACTTTGTGTGAAATTATCTCGGTCGTGCCTCAAAACAATAAACAAAGCAACCCAACTATGTTTGTATGTATGTATATTGATCCACCCATAAATACATGTAGGTAAATTGTGTCAATAACTAGATTGGGACATCTGTTATGTATATGCTTGCACACACACACACACACACACACACACATATTTTCATTTTGGCCATTGTACACTCTGGCCTTTTTCAGGTGATATGCATTGGAATTTTGAACTGAACCCTTATTTATTCCATGGGGGTAGATTGTTCTAATTCCACATACAATACCTTTCTGGGATCTCAGTTTAAGTTCATTCCCTTTAGTAACTCAACTCTTTGTTCCCTCAAAACTCTTTAGGTCAAGTCACTTTTTGGATCACTCAACCAATGCTTTTATCCACTCAGCCACGTGTCCTTGGAGACATGAGTGAGTGAATTTTGGGAACTTATAAACCTAATGTCTCTAACCGTTTTTTATCAGAGCTCATATTACAATTTTTTGTTTTTTTAACATTCTATATTACTGGTTTCCATGTTGTATTCATGTCTGTGCTTGGCCGGCTTAGGAGATTTTTGTGACCAAGCAGATTTGCTGATTTCTTAAGTTTTTGTATATTCCAGTGACATTCTCTCTCTATTATTTCAATTTCATCCCACAGAGGGTGGTGACCTCCTTTATCCCTCCATATATGGTCAGCCATGCCTGACTCTTCTATTTCCCCTTGTGTTATGGCCTTACAGTATTCCCACAGTCTTATCTCAAGGGGGCAGCCTGTTTCTCCTTTATATTTCTTGTCACAACTGCACAGGATGGTGTAAACACAGTCCTTAATCATGTTCTCCTCTATGTGTGGTCTTACTTGAAAGCGATGTCTGCATAGTGTTGAATCACTCCTGAAGGTTGACCTGATGTTATATGAACCACAAATCTCTTGTAACTTTTTCAATAAGCTTTTCACATAGGGTAACAAGACCGAGGCTGTTTTCTGAGTGTCATTATCATCTTGTACACTTTTATCCCAGTTTTTGCTGTCATGTATCCAGTGTAGTTGCTACCTTATAGGGTACTGATTATATTGACCATTTCTTGTTCATATGCCTCTGTGTTGCGACTTATGACATTACAATTCCATTCTTTACACTGTATGGGTGGTGGGAGTCGAAGTCGAAATTGAGGTATTGTCTTGTGAATGTTGGCTTGTGGTATATGGATATTTTGAACCCATCCTCTGTTCAAGATATTAGTACATCTAGGAATGCTATTTTGTTGTTGTTTTCTCTCTTGATTGTGAACTGTATCAATGATCTTATTGAGTTCACATGGCCCAATAGTGGTTGAACTTCTTCCTGGTGGAGTCAGAGTATGAAGGTGTCATCTACGTATCTCAGTCATAGAGTTGGCTTGAGTGATGTTGATTCTAATGCCATTTCCTTGAAGTATTCCATGTATATGTTAGCCATTACTGGTGATAATGGCAAATCCCTTGCCAAGCCTTCATCTTGTTGATATATATCTGATCCCATTTTAAAGTATGTCATTTGTGTACAGAAAACAGAAAGAAAACTATTGCAGATCTTAATCAAGGACAAGGACCATTTCCCACCTAAGACATACAGGCAATTGTCAGAATGTTATAGCAAACTACTTCACATATATGGTCTCCCCAAAACTTCACAAAGACAAAATTCCTCTCAGGCCAATTGTTAGCTGCCAAGGTGCTTTGTGCCACTCTCTCAGTCACTTCTTTGTGGATATAGTTGACACATTAATAGGAAAATCACCGTCATGTTTTCAAAACCCTGCCCACTTCATGGAAATAATAAAAAATGCTCCCATCCAAACCAATAAGATGGTGAGCCTGGACATAGCAAGTTTTTCACCAAGGTATCAGTAGTCAGGAACAGACTGGCTTCAGACTCATCTCTAGGGGAATGTACCAGTATACCAATAGATGGAAATACTGACTTTCTGTACAAAAATTGTAGTATGAGTGCTTGTAAAAAAATGAATACTGAGACATTAGGTTTATAAGTTATTTATATTTATTTAGAACAATCTACCCCAGTGGACTAAATAAATGGTTCAGTTCAAAATTCCAGTGTATATCACCTGAAGAAGGCCAAAATGTTGTGAATATGGCAATAAAGATGAGGACAACAGTCCAAATGATATAAATAGTATTAATATATATGTATATGACTATATACAAATTACATAAATGGTATTTTTAGTGGATACTTGTATTTGAGTAGACGCTTATTTATTATACAGTATATTTATTTTTGTCTCTGACCTCACAAAGTCAGAAAAATCTGTTTCAAGGTTCTATTCAAGTTTGCTTGGTTATCGATGCATTCTGTAGTTGAGAGGTCAAAGCACATCAGATGACAGTTTCCCCCCCAAGGGGAACACAAGTTCAAATCCTGCCTGAGAGTGCATATTTTTCTCTAATAAGAATTCTCAATTATTCAGGTCAGTAGACAAAAATAAATAAATATACTGTTTAATAAATAAATGGAGCGTCTTCTCAAATATGTTTAAGTAATAAAAACATGTATGTATGTATGTAATGTATGTAATGTATGTATGTATATATGTAATGTATGTATGTAATGTATGTATGTATGTAATGTATGTAATATATGTATGTATGTAATGTATGTAATATATGTATGTATGTATGTATGAAATTAAATATTGATTAATTTTATTTATTACTGTTAATACTCTATCTCTTGATGTTGAGCACTCTAATTGCAAAGACTGCTTGCCTTAAAAATGTTATCTTTCAAAAATACTCTGGTCAACAGTTTTTAAATTATTAACAACCATAGGTGAGGAATTTCAAATTTAAAAAAAAAATTACTTTTCTTATTTGTATATCAGACAAAGAATATCTGAAGTATAAATATTGTCCAAACATTTGAGATCTAGCACTTCTTACCATTATCAAGAGGAGTGGATGAAACCTGTAGACATTAGTATGTTCCTTAGAATTTTTGAAATCAACATCGTTTACAAACAAGAAAACTTGAATAAAAAATGTAAAAACTATAACATGCTTATAATCTTTAATTCAACTTATATTAATGAAAACCATTTGCTTAAATACAAATTATGTAATAATAATAATATAAATCAATAAAACCTATCACAATATGTAAAAATTACTAGAATTTAAGGTATTTTAAGGTCAGCAGAATTTTTGTTAAGAATGTGCTCAATATATAATGAGAAACAATAGTCAATTAATAATTGTTTGAGCAACTTATCCCATGGCCACCTCCATTTCACCTAACACTGCTCATCAGAGTCAGAAAATCTGATAAATCTATTCAATTATTACAAGATATCATATTTATACTCTACAAAATAAATGCTAATTGTAGTTTTAAATATATCTTATGTGCGACTCTGTTAAGAATGTGACAACATTTAAATATTCAGAATCAGTTAAAAGGGTCAATTACTTTTTTTCATTACATGAAACTGGAGTTGGTCATGAGATAAGTCGCTTGAACATTTATTAATTAATTGACTATATATATATATATACATACATGAATTATTCATACAAAACTAATGCAAAAGATTAATGATTTAAATGGCGAGACATCCATCGCCATAAACAATTCAAATAATATACAAAAACCTCCATTATCATTTATGAATGAAATGATCCTTGTTTATATAAATTTTCGTTAGTTCTTGTTTTTACTAAGAGAAAAACAAGAACAACATCTTCATTCTAGAATAGATGAAGTTCTTGTTTTCTC